AATATCATAAATTAAAAAAAATTAATAAAATGACATAATTTATACATGTCATGTATGAGAAACAAGATATTTATATGTAACATCCAATAAAAAAAATATTAAATAAAAGAGATGAGAGAAAAAAAAAACATAAAAAACTCCTATTACAACAACACTAGAATTATAAAAAAAATCATCAATAATAACTTTAATAGGCTATATTTATTGCTTAAAGATGACTCATTAATTTTTTTTTCATGGTAAGTGTGTTTCATGTAGAATTATTATTGGTGATTTTTTTTTATGTTATTTGGTTTATGTTGTTGAGATTTTTTGATAATATTAATGATGTTATAATTAAAATTTTGATGTGTTTCTAAGGTTTTTTATTTTATTTTATTTATTTATTATTATATATTGATATTATAAATAGCTACAAATTATAGATATCATGTTTTTCAATCATGATATGTATAAATTATACTATGTTATTAATTTTATTTTTTATTATTATTTCACCAATATTTTTTTTTTAATATATTAATAACCAAAAATAGCCATGTTTTGACCCCATTTTTCTTTTAGGGTTGGATGGCCGGTAGGAATTTTTGGCACCAAACGCCGTTTCACGTTCGTTTATTTCAATCATACAAGGTTTCACTTGGATAGTTTTTTGTCTTGTCTTATGAAATTTTAGATTATATTGTTTTTTTCTAGAGAAAAAAAAAAGATAGAGAGACTAGAAAGGCCGGGCCCATGCGTGTGCCTAAAAGTAAACTTGAAGGCATCATTTATGAGAATAAAATTTAAAAGCAGAAACAAGAAATGAACTCAGGAGGAGATGACCAGGAACATTGCCAAATACTTGTCACCATATTATGCTTCAACTATATTAAAAGACAAGGCATTGAATCATGTTATTGAACCTTTTCTGCCTGAATATTGATATATTTTAAACTAAAGATATGTTTGTTTTTAAAAAAATAGTTTTATGGAGATTATTTTTAAAATTTTTTTTGTATTTTATTTGTTTTTAAAAAAGTTAGTCAACAGAAAATACTTTTTAATGAAATAAAAATTTGACTAGATTTTTAAGAAAGTATTTTTCTTTTATTTTGGACGTAAAATACTTTTTAGAAGTTATGAAAAATTTAGAAATATCATGTTATTTGTTGATTATATCAAATTTGATTCTCAAACTTTTGATTACTATATATTCTGTTTTGAATATTTTTTTTTTAATTTTATCTATTAGAATATCAACTTTAGTTCTTATTTTTATGATTTTTATTTATTTTTCTATCAGATTTGATCTTTATTTTTTTTATTATTTTTTTTATTTGAAATAATTTATAAACTTGTAATTTTTTTAATTTTATCATCTTTTAACTTTTTTATCTATTAGATTTGATCTGTATTATTTTATTTTATTTTTAGATAATTTATGAAATTAGATTTTATTTTATTTTATTCTTATTAAACTTTTTAATTTGTAAAATTTATTTTTTATTATTTTAATAACTTTTAAAAAATATTAACAATTTATTTTTCAGCTCATTTTTCATGACATAGTTATATACTGAAAAATAATTTTTAATTTATTTTTTATGATATTACCAAATATCAAAAAATTATTTATTTTTTTAAAAATTATTTTTTAAAAGAACTATTTAACTAAAAAAATTATTTTCCAATAAATAAACACACATAAAGCCACACATTATTGTTGGAAAGCATGGTAGAGATGAGCTCCAGACTCTTATATAATAAGGAATAATTATTTATATCTAGCCCAGCAAATAATTAGAAAAAACTAAGAATTTATAATTTTGCTCAATCGATTGGTTGTGCGTGGGAATCTCTCTCCTTTCCAAATCCAAGTTTGTATATAATTCCCTTCAAATATAAAGAATCATGTGTTAATTAATTTTCTTGATATTATTAGAAAATTATTCTTAAATCAAATTTTTTGTTTAGATCAACTTATATGGGCACTTAATTATAGTTTCCTAAGATGTAATTTTAAATAAATACATATATTTAATTTTAAAATTATATATTTTTATTTTTATATAAATAAAAAATAATTTTAAAAAATAAAATGATCAAAATTAAGTAGAGTTTATTATCCAAACCACAAAATTAAAAATAATTTAATATATCATATCTCAGTATTAAAATAAAATATTTTCTTGAAATTCTTTTTAAAACCAAAATATTTTTTTTACTAATTATTGGGGTTCACTTTATACTTGATAAATCAATAATGTTATATCGAGGTAATTTTTATATAATTTAATTTTAAAATTTAGATTAAATAAGTAATTGAATTAAAAAAATTGATCAAATTTAATAACAATACTAAATTATTATTTATCAACTAAACATGTTTTAAGCCTAATTGTTTTTTATTCGATCTACATGATATAGTTATCCACGATACAGATTTGATTCAACAGGTATCTCTGTAGATAACTTCGTGTTTGAAAAAGTGTTCGCATAAACCAATGTATGCTTTTACAAAGAGCACATTGAGACAACATTAGAGTCAGCATGCTCTTATATTTCCTTAAAAGGCATAATTATTATATTTATTAATTTAAATTATTAAATTTAAATTTAATAAATATGATTCAATACATAACAAAGATGGTAAAATAAGATTACAAAATCAATGATAAAATTTAGAATACAACCGACGACGTTCTAAAGACAAAAATGAGGATATCTAAATCTGGTGCATATATAATTCCTTGCAAGAAGAAAAAAATAGAGGCGATTGTAAATATTTTATTTTTAATGTATATATAATTATAGTTGTTATTTATTTTAGATGAGCAACTGTTGAATTTGCAATTTTAAATTAACATTCCACGGGTTATAATAATGATTAGCATATTATCTCAAGTTTTATACAAGGTTAATAATATTTTTAAAAAAATATAAAAAACATAAAAAAATTAAATGTTTTAGGTTTAGTAACCATTGAAGAGACTTAGTTTTGATAACTATACTAAACTCAATAAATTTAAATCTAACAATAAATTTAATTTATTTTTAAAATATTTTAAATAAAAATAATAATTATTTTTTTAATATTCCACGAGTCATAATAATAATAATAAGAGGAAACAACCATCTAGGTGGTGACCAAGTGGTAAGGATTTGGGATCAAGGGGTTTGCTCCTTCTGTGGTCTCAGGTTCGAGTCCTTAGTTGCTCATATGATGGCCACTGGAGGCTTCCAGAGTCGCTAACCTCAGAGCCGGTGAAATTAGTCGTGGTGCGCGCAATATTAACTTCAAGGCCCGTGACATTCACGTTAATCTAAAAAAATAATAATAAGAGGAAACAACTCCCCCTCACCCACGCTCTCAATATTATACCTTTTGACTTTGTAAGAGTAGTATAACTAGTTATATTTTAAGTTTATTTTTTTAAAAATTACTTGTTTTTATTTTATAAATTTTAGAACTATTAAAAATATATATTTATTAATTTTAAATTTTATAGGATTAATTAAAATATATACAAACTGATTTAAATATTTATATTAACCTAAAAAAATTACATTTTTTTGGTAAATTAAAAAATAAAATAAAAATAAAATTACCCTTTACTTTACAGCAAGACATTGTCGGAGGTACTACTTTACTCGTCTCTCCAGTTACTTAAACCCAATGCTAATTAATTAAGTATCAGTTCATTTAATAGTTTTACAGAATCGAAACAACCCAGCCTGTGACTGCTAACTGTATATTCACAGATTGTGTTAGATTTTTATGATGCAATCATGGGGTGTTTGTTTTTACAGTACAAACCTTATTTTTTAAAAATTTATTTTTTTTATTTTTACATCATTTTAATATATTATTATTAAAATTAAATTTTTAAAAATAAAAAAATATTATTTTAATATATTTTTAAACAAAACACTAAATTAATAATTCAATATTTAAAAATATTTCATAATATAGGGTAGACCATGTTTCGAAAAAAAATTAATTTTTTTTATATATTTAAGATTTTTTTAATACACTGGTTTTAAAAAAATAAAAAATATATTTTAATACATTTAAATATAAAATATTTTTTAAAAAACAAGTGTAGCCACACTTTCAAAAGCAAAATGCACACCTGATTTTCGAAGTGAAGAATAACAGATAGTCAATCCATTTGGAAATAACAATTGATAGAACTTTTCACTGATCCTGATGAGGCATTACAAAAGTCAATGTGCTAATTCAGAACGAGAAGGCCTGGTTAGTTTCCAAGCTTCTCCCTATGAACAAATGCTTTCGAATCCCATGTACTCCTTCCTCTCAAACTTCTTGATCATGCTTGCCATGCCAGAACCACCTGTTTGAAAAGAAGAAAAACCCTTCAGCCAAATCAGACATATAGGAGACTAATTCATGGGAATCTCAAAATATTGAACAATCTCTATATATAGATATATATATATATATATATGTTTGTCCATGCCACATACATACCTACTAGTATTGCACTCACAAATATTGTGGACGCCAGAATGAAGATGATCAGAGATGCTCTCCCTAATATGCTGATCAGCTTTCTCACCACATGTTGCCCCACCACGGCGGCAATTGTGGCCACGGTGAAGAAGTAGAGAGCTGCGGGTGTAAGAATTGCAGAAGATATAGTCAGTTAGTTCTAAATGAGCTTATAAATTATTACAGCTCCTTTTGAGTTGTAAATGTTGCGTTTAAACAAGCAGAAAGCTTTGTAGCTGAAAAAAGGTTACCGTAAGGGACGGGGAAACGTTTTATAAGGTAATATTCTACTACAGACAAGGAAGCAGAAAACATCATGGCGAAGGTGGCTGTGGCGCTTGAAACCTACAGCGTTGGGATTCTCAATATTTTAAGTTACTGTCAATGGATCTTACAAGTTGAAATAAAGTAGGAAATCCTACCTGTGGAGGGATTCCCATCTCCAAGAAAAGAGGACCCAAAATGAAACCGCCACCAAGTCCAAGCATGCCTCCAACTGTGCCAGCCATAACACCTATGAAACAATATAAAATAAGTTTGTGCACTGGCCAGTCATTGCTTGCTTCTCCCATGGATGTAATTTTTCTCCGCCCTTTGTACAGGTTAACCGCCTCGTATGAAGTTACACCAGCTGCCACCGGGATCTGAAAAGCAAGGGCAAAATACAGTAACTACTCTTATACTATAATATTTCATGAATATATATGTACTCAATACAGTAAAGGTACCTGTAATATGTTCAATAGCCGATATATAGCTGAGCAGGTTGTTGTATAATTCTGTCACCAACAGACAGACAGACATTGGCTTTTCATTAGACTAGCTGATCAATACAGAAAAACAAAGGAACTGGCTCACTCTGTAATGTGAAAATAACGAGTGGTAAAAACCTTCCCAATCTGCAATGCAAGAATAATCAGCCACACAATGATAAGAATTCCAAGCTCCTTCCATTTAATATTCTCTATTATAGAGAGCTGACAAGGTTTCAGAAGTAATTAACCATGCAAGTCCACTAAAATGAAACTCAGACTGCTTAACTTTTCGTACCTTCTCTTTATTGGGCTCGTGTTTTATTTGATCATGAGTGGTGGTGCCTCCAGGAAGAGGCTTTTCCTCTGCTGCTTCAATCTCGTCGTCTGATGAAAGAGCACGTTAGGCATGAAGGAAAAGAAAAACATGAGGATAGCTAGATTTGGATTTTATAAACCACTCACCATGAATTTCCAACTTTGCTCTTGCAGCTTCCTGAAAATTTACAAATTAAAACAACTGATCAGTTATGGAGCACGAGGAAACAGATTGAATTATAGAATATCATAGATAAACTAGGTTTTTAGGATAAAGGAAATGTGAGACCTGTTTTGATTTGGTTTCTTTTTTCCATGTTTCAACGCCTTTGAAGAATGACCTGGTTGATGTTGCTGCATGGAACGAAAGAAAATGAAGAAAGTTGCTCCAATAACGAAACGGAGAAAGTGCGTAGCAGTTATACTATCAATATATATACCTATGAAGAAAATGATTAGCAAAATAATGATCATCCAGTCAGCAAAAAGAACATTCAGAGCCACTCCAATACTAATTCCCAGAATCAACATTGGCTGAAATAGAATTGCCAGATCGTAGTCGATAAGGGGCAGTTCCAGTGTCGGGTGTCTTAGTCTTAAATTATAGAAGACAGTTGTCGCCGCTGCACCTGTGATCATACCTGACAAAAGCAAACAGAGCCGACAACAATTTCATGACATATTTTAAGGATACAGTAATGCAGTAGCCATGGGAGTTGATTGATATTTTGAATCAACTCGGAAATGTCTGAGGATATATTAATTTTCTGTAACTTGATAGAAATGTTTTATCAACCCAAAAGATATATGCAGCATCTGTTCTTCTTTGACATTACTATCCTCATAACGCATGCATTAGCCACATGAGGAGGTTCTCAGATGCATAAATATTAGAAGGGGGGATCTTCACTTGCATTTTGATAATGCTGTTGATGATTTAGAATCAAACCCAATAACCAGTGTAAGCATGGGAAAAAAAATGCCGCCTCCACCAACGCCTCCCACGCTCCCACATGCTGCTCCAAAGAATGCAATTATAGTACCCCCAACAATTCTCAAACCAAATCTCATATCCTGAAAACCCAAACAAAAGTTACTGACAAGACAGGAAGGGGGAAACAAAAAAGAATTCAGAGAAAACATAAAATCTGTCGGCTTTGTTTTCCTGTAGGGTTATTTTTTTCTATGCAGCCAAGCAGAAGATTCAAGTAATCAACAGGGAGTCAGATAACATAGAAAAATTGGACTTACAGGCCAAACATGTTGGTAACCAGAGTGGCCTTTCGTCACATGGTGAGGAGACTCAACCTTTCGAGTCGCATTATAAGATGAACCCTTTTGTTTCAAACTTGGTTCTGCTACAGCCACCATCAATATTGAAGTTGCAACAACCAAACAAATCAAGACTTTCCCTCTTAGTCTTGAAGTGCCATGCCACCATTCTGATCCAACTCCAGCTATCGTATTCATTCTTGTCTAAAAAAACGAACAAGCAAGGTTTTGTCTGTGTGTGTGTGTGTCAGAAAAATAAACAAAGTCTCAAGCCTAGACCAGGATGAACCAGACTCAAATGTTATGAAGAACACCCAGCTAATCTGCTAGGTGTCACGCTCAAGAGAAGCAAAACAGCTAGGGAAAAGAGAGAATCGATCCTCACACGCAGTCTACTATTTATGCACGAATGAGATCGCTAGCGGCAGCCATTTGCTCCTCCTCGAGTTTTCTTTTATTTCTCTCTTTCTGAAAGTAACATAATAAATTAAGCAACAAGCATTATTTAAATAACTTTAGCAATAAAATCTTCGCCACCAGATATGAACTCAACCGAGCTTCCGACAGCAAGAATTTAACAGAATATTAATACTGAACGCAACGATTTGATCAGTTTCAGAAGATTTTGACAGCTAATATTTTATTTCTTCTTCTTTTCTCATCGATCTTCCAAGCATCCACTCTTGACATTTAATTGAACGTCTCCCCATTTGATCAGTTTCAGAAGATTTGGACAGCTAATATTTTATTTCTTCTCCTTCTTTTCTCATCGATCTTCCAAGCACCCACTCTTGACATTTAATTGAACGTCTCCGACGTTGACACATCATGTTACACTGTTTGTATATATAAATATAATTATAAACCAAGTTCGTAATGTTATGAAAAAATGAGTAAAAATATATTAAAATAATATTTTTTATTTTTTAAAAATTATTTTTTATTTTATTGTATTAAAATAATTTAAAAATATTAATTTAAAATAAAAAATTTAATATTTTTAAAACATAAAAACAAAGCACATAAGTTTAACGTTTGTTTATTTTCAAAAAGTATTTTTTTTTTATGAACACGGAAGAACGGAATTTGATATCCTTTGCACGTAGTTCAAGCAACAGGACACGTCCTATCAATAATCACGTGGTTGTTGAGTTCGTTTACTTCCGGAAAGCGTGGGTGTTAGATACAATAATCTTCCTATAATTTAATTTAATTGATTTTATATTTATTTTTAATATTTAAAAAATTATAATTTATATTATTGTAGAGTGTAAAATAAGTTAGGATGTAAGCTGCTACACTACACGTACAATAATATTCAGAATGCAAATTTTAATTTTTCAAAACAAGAAGCATAAATATAAAGAATACTAAATTATATGATCAAATTAAGTAATTTTTACATGGATAAATCATTATATTCCAGCTCAAAAATGATGTCCGATCTGAACTTGACTACTTTAAAATTAACACGTGCAAACTATTTTAATATTTCCGGATGCGTGTCATGTTCAAAATAGTAATAGTAAGGGAATTTCTTCAATCAATATATTGTAAGAATAGCGCCTAAAAAAAAAAAACACTTTTACTACATTAGAAAAAAAAACAAGGGATTGCCACTATTTATACGAGTAGCAGAAGCTATTTGGTTTTTTTTTTTTTATTTTCATTTTCCTTGTGTCTTTTCATTTAATTTTTTTTCTAAAAACATTTAATCTTTTTATAACTTAATTCCACCATATAAACTTTAAGATTATGGTATAAATACAAAGTTAAATGAAAGAAAATTATAATGTAACATCATGGTCAATCTCAAATTTATGAAGAAAAAATGATTTCTAGTCCATCTATTTTTTTTCTCCTCCAATCGAGTCCTTTTAATTTTTTAAATTTAATTTTGGTTCAAAAAATTATTTTTCATCCTTTTCTTCTAGAGAGAAGAGAGAAACTAGTTAAGAAAATAAAAGGTAAGAGAGAAAGGTATCGATTGATCATAATCTAATAAGAAAAAAAATCAACTCTGATCCCAACAAGTTTTATTTGCAAAGAAAAGTTCTATTTAGGTATTTTTTTATTTTTGTTTTGTTAAAAAAAGTAGACCAGGATTGAAAGAGAATTTTTATCTAGTTTGATTTTATGTTTTTAAAATGATTTGTAAATATTTGTTTTGAGTTAAGAAATCGGTATGTTGATATGATAAGAATGTTTTTAAGTGAAAATAGGTTTTAAAAAATGGATTTTTAGGTCTAAAAAACCTGAACTTGATTTTTCGATCATCTCTCTAGTTTTAAGAAACTATGCGTACTTTGTTTTATTATTATTCTTCTTAAAAAAGATAGACTACATCTTATTCAATTCTTTTTCCAAATAAAAAAAAAGAAGCTCATGCTTGTGCACTTAGGTAGCGCACATGGTGTTTTCTTTAAATAGGTAAGGTGCACTAGGCCATGCAAGCCCACATGTATGGCCTCTATATATGATAGTTGGTGCATCAGATTGAAGGCATCAGATTGAAGAGCAAAATGACTACAGAAAATGCACAAACACTCATCCCGAAGCTAACCAAAGACAACTATGATAGTTGGTGCATCAGATTGAAGGCATTTCTTGGTTCACAAGAGTGTATA